TAGAATTGTATATTACTAAAATAATATCCAATATTGTTGCCAGAAAGTGAAGGTATCATTAAGGCACATCCTATTAGTCTGAGAAGGTCACTGTGGAAACATAAAGGAGTCCTATAAACCTTTAATATGTTATGTGCATTCCAAAGAATTAGCTCTTAAGTAAAATAATAAAATACTTTTTAAAAATTCTTCCAACAAATGTTTATTGAGCATCTGTAAAATAAACAGTTCTATATATTGGGAAAAGCTGACAAAATTCATGTTCTTGTAAACATATTATAATTGAATGAGAGAGAAATTAGCCATAGGGAAAAAAGTCATTAAAATGTAAAAGAATATATAGATATATATAAAAACGCAAGCAATGACATTCAACTTCAGTTCTGCTGGCCACGGCATTACAAATTCCACAATGTAAAAATAATAGAGCAGACCTTGATTTAACTAATTGATCAAAATGTAAACGGAGAAAGAAAGAAGGGGTGGCCAGTGTGAACACATGATGGAGGAAAGGAATGAAAAAGCAGATGGCAAGGTGGGTTTGTAAATGGAAGAGTAGATGAAGGGCTCAAGATGAAGGGAGAGACTCGTGTCATGTTGAGAATCTTCTCATCTCTTTGAGTAAAACCAGAAACCATTACTGAGTTTAGGAGAAGGAAACAATCACATAGGAAACTCTCTGAGAAACATTTTTCTGACCTTGATAATTGGAGAATTAGATAAAAGGAAAGGGCAAAGTTGGGAAGATGATTAACTACTTCCAGCAATTGTGGAAAGAGTTGTCTTGGACAAGAGAATGGAAATATTGAGGTGTACACTTTTGTATATTAGACAAGGTCAAAGGATCAAAGCTGCTATTTTTAGTAACATGCAAGATCACACTACATAGGACACATTTTGGAATGTGTTTTTTTCTTCTTCTTCAATTTTTGGTTGTTTTGAAAGAGATAAAAGAAGAAAAACCCTAAATTGTATGGATAGGGAGTTGAGAAAGGTATGAGAAGAACTGGATGAGAAGAAGAAAAAATAAAATACATTATATAAAAATTTTTCATTAAACATTAAATAAAATACAAGACCATAAAGAATTCCAAGGACTTGGAGTGAGCATCTCATTAGACGACAATGCTGTCCCAGCAGTAGGATGGATACAAGTGCAACAGGCTTGCATGTTTGGTGGAGAAATGCATAGCTATTTCCTTGACATGTTGTATATAAGTGACTCCTACTGGGAGCAGCCATCAGTAAGATTCCCAGAGAACCTCGGGCGTAAATTGTGGGATAGCAGCATTAAAATAACAACCAAAGTTATCTTAGTAATGAGAGAAAAGAAAAACATAAATGTAACTAATTGTGTAATGAGATTTAATCTCTTCTGGTTGGAGGATTTATTAATCCTTAGTAGTAATTCAGAATTAATCTTAAGAGAAGGAGGTTCTAAGGAAGTTTTAAAAAACAGAGTAACATAACATTTTATAATAACTTCTAACTTTAGAAAGATCAATGATGTTGTATTAGAATAGATGAGTGGGTAGTGAATAGCACATCTGAAGAGGCAGAGAGCTTTTGAGACAATTATCTTAGTAGCTGTCGTAGAGGAAATTATGAGGTCAGCTACAAGGAGGGTACATCCACATGAGGAAGATTATAGTTATTTGGCTCATAATGCATTAGCTGGGGATATTAAAGTGCTAGGCAATTTAATGCGATTGTAGAAAAAATGATTTGCACACGTGACAGAAAGTGATAGAGTGGTGTTTAATACTAGTGAGTAGGCCAATTGGAAGTCTGACGGTGGCAGACACTGGTAAGAATGATGACAAAATTCAACAAGACCCAATTCTGTTTTGGACAAATGTATTTTACAGTAAGGTACTTTTGTAATGATGAAAGATAAATATGTAAATGACTACCACAAACTAGGTAGCTACTCTGTACTTAGCACGCCTAGACAGAAAGCCAGCACCATTCTTACCATATTTTCATTAGTTGTATTCCTCTGTATTGATCTGATATACTGTTGTGTCATACATATGCACTCATATGTAACATTTGTTGTACATGATTTTCCAGGAGAAAGGCCTATGCGTATTCCATCTTTTCAGGATCCTTTGAAAGTTTATGAACTTTAATTCATTTTACTCTTAAAACAAACAAGATGTAACTATTAATTCACAACTAGTGAATGAGTTGTACATGATTGTGGAGATTCCCTATTGTTGCTTTTGGTATGAAGATACAAGGACTCATAGTGTAAAAAGGACTACAGGAAGTGACTCAGCTCCCTGTGTGTGTTTAGATAACATTACTTAATGGATAAACTGTACATAAAAACACATACATACACATTAGTTTTTGTGTCTACTCATAAACTCTAAAACATATGATATCCTTGAATGTTTTATGGAATCGGTTCATCATACTCACAGTTACATGTGCACATATTGTAGAAATAAATTATATCTAGAAACTTATGTAGATATATTGATATATTAGGACATACAAATTCTAATATTAGCCTCTTCTATTTTGAAAGACCCTAGATATTCAATCAGTTGTAGTATATGTGAATTAACCTACCAGTACATGCCCATTATTTTTGAAGTTATGTAACACTGTATATATATGTTTGTGTCCCTGTGTGTGTGTG